TGGTCGGTCATGTGAGAGTCCAGTTCTTTAACCACTACACCACCTGCTGACCCCTGACATTTCTAATTCAAACAGAGGTATCCTTTAGGCTGGCACTGGCTTTGCGACGACCTTATAGTGATCAAGCGTTCTCATGCGGGTAACTTGCATTGTGATCAACCACCGCCAAGCACAATGGCCAGTGATGAGCAGAATGACCCAGAGGAGTCAGAGGACTCGCTCAGGCTCACACGGCAAGTGAAGTAGCCAAGCTGGCTTGCCCGTGTTTCATGTCCTTCTAGCTCTGTGCTTTCTGAAGGTCACCTTTGTCCAGTCGGATCCCTTCCCTTCTCCCCAGGGGTACCCGGCTGATGTCTCTCCATAGCGAAGGCTGGAACTCATGTGTTGAAGGGATCAGAGTGTTCTAACACAGGGGGCCCCTCACCCCACCACACATCTCCCTGCAGCTAATGAATTGCTAATACAATTTTCTAGATAATTTTATTTCCATAGTCCCACATTTTAATGTGTTTCCAAAAGCTAGCATTTATTTGCTTAATCTCCCAGCGTAATAGAATCTGCCCTGACTCATCATACATGCGAACAGTCAGCTAGGCAGAAACGACAGCAAATTGTTTAATAACTCGCATCTAGTCTCTAGATTTTTAACTCCCATGCACCAGTAGCTTTTCTCCCCCGCCCTGCCCTGCTTTTCTTTTTCTTTTTCTTTTTTTTTAACACTTTTCCATCACCACAGCTGTGGGTCTATACGGAGAAGAATAGGGAGTGTGGATACAGGGACTTAATGCCTCATCTTGCCCCTGTGAGCCTTGCTTGGCAGGAGAGTAGCCAGGAGAAACCCTGCTCCTGTGGGTGGGCCCAGGAAGGGGAGAGAGACCACCACGGGGTCATCGTGCTATTTCCTTTCCAGGTGGTGACTCTCTGGTGTTAAGCCATTAACAGGTACAGAACCGGCCATCCGGCACTCCGTGTGTCCACTGTTTCCAGTTCTAGCCCAAGCCCCAGCTCCTGTCAGGATTTCATTCCCCCTTTCCCCCTTCTGCCCTGCAGTCCCGCCCTGGTCAGGCTGTCACCCTTCTCCAGTGGTGGTACGAGTGCCATCTGCTCTCTTCCTGCATCTAGCCCCTGGCCACCCCTTTTCATCCCCACACGGTGCCCTGAGGGAGGGCCCTCATGTACGGGGGGGTCATGCCAGCACCACCCTGTCTGAGTCAGTGCCAACGGCTGTAACAGTGTATTGGGAACCAGGTGGCTTATAGCAGGGGTCCCCTACCTCTGGGGGACAGAGCAGTACCGGTCTTTATTATTGTACTGTAATAATAATGGAAATCAAGGGTGTGATAAATGCAATGTGCTCGAATCATCCTGAATCCATCCCTGGGCCCCGGTCTATGGAAAAATTGTCTTCCATAAAACCGGTCCTGGGTGCCACAAAGGTTGAGGAGGACTACTGGCTTATAGGCTGTAGACATTTACTCCTTCCAGTCCTGGGACTGGGACATCTGGGGTCAGGTGCCACTAGGGGTCTGGTGAGGGTCCCCTTGCAGGTCGCAGAATACTGACTTCTTGCCACTTTTGGCCACGCCCTGACACGTGGCAAGGGGCCAGCTCGCCCTCTGCGGCCTTTTATACGGGTGCTAATCCCATTCACGAGGCTCGACCCTCATGACCTAGTCGCCTCCCGAAGGCCGTCATGTGATGCCATCACCCTGGGGGTTAGGACTTCAACATGGGGGTTTGGGGGGAGTGGGAACAGTAAGACTGTAGCACCCCAATCTTTTTGTGGACTACATTGCCTTAAGCCTAGCCTGCACCCCTGGGCACATGCAGCTCCATGATGGACGTTACCCTGGCTTATCTGCAGCCCCAGGGCCTGCGCTTACCTCCCCCGCCCACTCTGAATTTGCTGGTGGCGGGACCAGCAGTTGGCATAATGGCTATGTCGCTGGACTCCCATGTAGTCGACCATGGTTCAAGTCTTGGACACGGCGGCTTAAACTCATGCCAGGTGCATGTGCGTGCATGTGCCCAAGATCCCGAGAGGAGAATGGAGGAGAAGGGATTGCAGCATGGCCATCCCCCCTGGGGGGTGATTTCTCGCTTTCTGTCTCTCTGTCTCTCTCTTTCTCTCTGTCTGGTGAGTGCACGTGCCCCATAGGAAAAACCTCTCCAAAAAAAAAAGAAAAACAAATTTGCTGGTGGTGTTCCTTAGCCTGGCACGTGTGTCCTGCCAGCTCCGATGCTCTTCATTCCTCAAGCCTGACTCCAGGTGCTCTCTGACGCCTTCCTGGAGTCACCCTGCCTTGTCCTCAGATGGGGCTGACTCACCCGTGTTCCCAGCAATCTGGGATCTGGTTCTCTGTGCGAGCTCACGTTGCCCTGCTCACCTAGCACAGAGCCTGCACTAGACCAGGGTTCAGTGAGTTGGCTAAACCACCATGCCGTCTGCTCCGGCCATCCTGAAAAGCTGGTGGCTCTAAGGGGCTTTGGGAAGACCAGATAGCAGAGTGTTCAAGGACCCCCAGTCCAGCTGGCTGGCTGGTGCCGGCCCTTCACAGTGCACCGGGCTTTGTAGGCTCAGGCTGTCCTACTGGAGGTGCCAGTTCTGTTCCCTCTGACCCAGGGTCCCTGGCTGGGGACCTCAGGGATGCCTAAGGGAAGCCTCGGCTCTTAAGGGTGTGGCTTATGTGGAAAGCCTGCTAGTCTTGCTGATTTAAGGTGGCTGTCTGACCACCTGGCTTAATCAGGGCTCTCTGTGGGGTGGGGGTTAAGGAGAAAGGGGCCAGTTCTGAGGTCCTCAGGTTACCGCATCCCAAAATGGGAGCAGATGCACTCTGCTCCTATGCATGTTCTTTGGGCTTGAGTAGATGACAGGGGACTCAGTGTCAGCCCCTGCACTGCATCTGCCTGGAAAAATGACTTCTTCTGTTGTGTCCCCTCCATCAGGGGGAGCTGACACCTCATTGGGGACCTCCCAGAGTCCTTGCTAGCCCCGGAGGGTTGTGACTCAGCTTCCCACCTCCTATTCCTGGCCTGGATCCTGTAGTTCCTGGGGAGTGGGCCTGGTCGCAGCTCACCGTCCTTGCCCTGCCTCTTCTAGGGGAAGCTCAGAGAGGTGGCCGGCCCTGAGGTTTCCAAAATCAGACAGACAGAGGTATTCCAGGATTCCAGCTATGCCTACCTCTAACCCTGCACCTTAGGCTAGGTATTTAATCTCTGTGTTTTCCCACTTATAAAAAGGAGGATACCAAGGTCTGCCTTGGAGGATGGTGAGCTTTAAGTGAGATGACCGTACAGATTAAGCCTCCAGTGCAAGGCATACCTTAGCTGGCCTTCCCTTCTGCTCTGCGAGGGCTGGGAGCAAAAGTCCTCTGCGCTTGGACTCCCCCATCTCCTGTTCAGCTTCCTGACGGCTGGTGGGATGGAGCAAGCTGCAAGTACCTCAGTGTCTGCAAAGGGGGTATTGCAGGTGTGTGTGAGGGGTAGGAGAGTGGGGGATAGTGAGAGGACTTCCCCCAAGTCTGTCCCAAACCCAGCTTTCAGTGGGATGGGAGCAGTGGGAGCCAGATCTGTCATTTGTCGTCCCCATCGTGGGCCAGGACAGTAGCAGATTCTTTGCACTGTGTCTGTTCTTCACCCCACCTGCCTGCAGGAGCTCCCGAGTTCACACTGAGCAGCCCACAGCTTCAGCAGCCAAAGTTCTGGCCCTCCCTCATGCAGGACTGGATGGGCAGGCATGGGCCCTGACCGCTTGTCCTGCGGTGCCCCTCACACATGGGAGGGTCATGTGGAGCTGAGCACAGGCGATGTCGCCCAGAACCAGCACACAGAGCGTACGGCTGGGCTTGCTGGAGGGGCTGTCGTGCTTAGCAAAATGGGGCCCAAGACAGTGGGCCAGGAACTACCAGGTAGGATGCAGACAAGGGGTCTGAGCACCACCTCCAAAAGGCCGTGGCTCCAGAGCAGGGTCGAAAAGAGTTGGTGACAAATGGAAATAAACAGCACGTCCTTGTGGGGCTCCGCAGGGTACCTGTGCTACCGATCAGCACAGGGGACGGCTGGGCGGAATCCAGTGAGCATCGCACGCCACTCATGGGCTTAAAATCCTTTGACAATCACTGGTTGGTCTTAGGATGAAACCTAAAGCTCTCCACATGGTTTTCAAGCCCCTGCCTGACCTGGCCCCTACGTCCTCTTACCCGTCCCTCCCACCTCTCCCTGCCTCTCCAGATATGCAGCCTCTTGTCTGCTCCTGCCAGGTCTCTTCCCAGCATGTTCACAGATACTGCTCTGTCGTCTCTGGATGCTCTCCCCCAGCCATCTACGTGCCAGGTGATCCCGACAAAGTGTGGCCCCTTCTCCTTGTAGAAGGTGCTACGATAGTATCTGTTGACAGAATGGACCCACTGGAGTCATGCTTTAGTGAGTGGAGAAGTGGGAACAGCAGACTTGCAGCTAGCCTCAAGAAAGAATTCAAATCCAGCCTAAGATAGGGACCAGCTCCGCCACGTACACTCCCTGGAGTTTTGGACAAGTTGCCCGGCCTCTCTGTGCCACTGCTTCCTCATCTGAAGGAGGGTAGAGGAGACTACTCTTTCAACATGTGGCTTTCAGTGAGATGCCTGAGAGCGCTGGCTGGCCTGGGTCGTCCCTGGGTCGTCTCTGTCACTGTTCTCTTCCACCGAGCTAGCCCGAGTTTCTTCTCTGGCCCCCGGCTCCACCCAGTCCCTCCCACACGTGCCTTCCATGCCCTGCCTTCCCTATGGTGCCTGACGGGGTCACGAGCTCACACTTGGCTGTTGCTCTGCGTTGGTCAATGTCGCTTTCCCCTCTAGGCTGGGTTCCAGTGAATGCAGGAAGTGTTTGTTTTGTCCACTGCTGGAGCCACGTCCTAGGCACTCAGTGGACATTGCGTGGCTGGACTTGCCCCTGAGCCTGGGGCTTGGCGGGCCAGCATTCCCACCCTCTGAGGCTCTCCGTCTCTCCGCTGTCTCCTGCAGGCACAGACATGGCTGTCTTCTGTCTGCTGTGCGGGAAACGCTTCCAGGCGCAGAGCGCGCTCCAGCAGCACATGGAGGTCCACGCGGGCGTGCGCAGCTACATCTGCAGCGAGTGCAACCGCACCTTCCCCAGCCACACGGCCCTCAAACGGCACCTGCGCTCACACACAGGTAGGTCAGTGCAGGTCACGGGGCGGGCCACGGGGCGGGCGGGGCGTCCTGGAGCCAGCGTCCAGATTGACCTCCAAAGACATAGAAAGAGATGCAGGGGTGGGGGCAGCAGGTGGTATGGTGGTTAGGATGCTGGGCTCCCACACGGCTGACCACGGTTCAAGTCTCAGACCAGGTGACTTGCTTTCTCACTTTCAGTCTCTCTCTCTCTTTGTGATAGTCATCTGTGCCTTATAACAAATTTTAGTTTTTGTTACATTTATCTTTATTTGTGAAAGTAAAAAAAAGCTAATAAAATCATATGCTAAATACATTATACATAATAATAAATACAATTAAATCATTCTTTTCAAAAAATGGGTCAGTGTCTGCCCTTGAGCAAAGAAGGGCTCAGCTTGTGTGGGTCAGCGTTGGCTTTTCTCGTTCCCAGTCTTTCCGTGCTCAGTACAGAGGGTGCCCACGGACCCATCCTCAGAAATTGTAATTCAGTCAGTCCAGGGCATGTAAGATCCAGAAACCCAGCATCATTTTTTTCTTTTTAAAAATTTTCCAGGGAACCAGCAGTTAGTGTAATGGCTATGTTGCTGGACTCCCACGTAGTCGACCGTGGTTCGTGTCCTGGACCCGGTAGCTTAAAACTCATGCCGGGCGCGTGTGTGTGCGTGCCCAAGATCCCGAGAGGAGAATGGAGGAGAAGGGATTGCGGCATGACCATCGCTCTGGGGGGTAATTTCTTGCTTTCTGTCTCTATGTCTCTCTCTGTCTGTCTGGCGAGCGCACGCGCCCTACAGTGAAATATCTCTCCAAAAAAAAAAAAAAAATTTCCAGTCAGGGGTGCATGCTCACCAGAGAGAGGGGAATAGGGAGAAAGCACCCTCCACCCCCCAGAGGTGCATTGGCTATGCTACAATCTCTTCTCCATTACGCCCTCATTTTCAGATTTGGGGCATGTACACACACACCTCACATATTTTTTACACTTCTGGGTCTGGGGCTTGAACTGTGGGTTTGGCCATGTGGGATCCAGCTGCCTTAACCACCAGGACACACAGCCAGCCCAGCACTCAATATTATTAATAGATATTCCCAAGGGATTCTGGTGCTATGGACTCAAGATGGATTTTGAGAAAAATCGGCCTCTAGGTCTCTAACTCTGACTTAGATGCTCCTCCGCTCTTGCTGGCTCCCTTCTCCATCCACCAACATTCCTTTCTGGCCAGAGAGCACATGGCCGAGAGAGAGAGAGAGAGAGAGAGAGAGAGAGAGAGAGAGCGCACACTTCAATCCCCCGTGGGGCAGGGCCACACCACAGTTGTTTATCCTCCATTTTGGGCATGCACGCACACATGCCTGGCATGTTTTTCAAGCTGTAGGGGACAGGATTCGAAGCACACTCAGCCATGTGGGATCTGGCTCCCTATGCAAGAGCTTAACTGTTGTGCCATGGGGCTGCCCTCCCCCCGCTCTTGAAGTCAGCTTCAGGCTCTTGGTGACATGTCGAAGAAGTGTCCTGCTTTCTCCACAGTAACAGAAAGCCTGTGCTTGGGACGACAAAGAACATATTTTAAAAGTGAGCCACGAACTCCCTTCTTCAGCCAGCTCCACATGATGGATTCAGGTCGTTAGTCAGGAAGGCTAGACCTGAGGTCCCTGCCAGGACCCTCTAGGTTTGGGGGCTGAGACACTGAGTTCCTGAGGGCCAGGGGCATTTGTTTCTTTGTAACAGCGTCCCCTAGCGGAAGCATGGGTGACTTAAACCCCTTCTTTTCTCTAAGACACAGTGGGTCTTCTCTGATGTACCTGGGTAAAGGAATGCCCCTTTCTGAGCCTGCGTGTGTCTCTGCTTGAATGGCTTCTGCTCTGTGCGAGTGGGGTGTGGTGAGGCCAGGGTTCCATCTGGGTAGGTGACAGCATATGTTCCTGCTCATTGGAGAGGGTATCAAAAACCCTGGGTGCCTCAGGGAGGACTCACAAGACGCTCTCTCCCTTCATTCTTCGAGTTCTGCCACAGCTCAGGGACTCAGTTCGCAGTGGTGAGCTCTGCTGTGTGAGGGAAGGGCTTTGTGTATCAGGGGCTAAGCTGGCCTGGCCTGCCAGCAGTAGGCATCCTCAGGGAGCCTGCCTGGGCTGTTGCTTCTGGATGCTTCTATTCAGCTGAGCATGTTGCATCTCTGAGTTTATTTGTGGCTACTCAGAGTTGCCGGGATAGGACAGGTAAGGTCCTTCAGAGGGCCGCAGAGGCAGGGATGGTGTCAGGCCTTTCCCCCTGGTTACCGCATATGCATCTCCCCTGCAGGTTTATGCACTTTCTGTCATCACCTCCCTCAGTGGGTCCCTAAGTTGAGCCTTAGGAAAGATGGCCACTCACTGTTCAGCCTCTTCTAAGCCTCTAGGCTGAATCAGTTGGCTTCCTGGGATTTAAATCCTCCCAACCCTGCTAAATCCATTCAGGATCCACCCTGCCCTGCTCATGCCACCTTCTAAGAGCCCAGCTACCAAAATGTCACGTGCCCTGGTGCCAGTCATGGCTCAGATCTGAGGGAGGGGCTGTTTCCAGACAGAGTTTGGGAGAAGCCCTCGCTTACTCTGGGAACCATGGAGCATATGCATGGAGTGCACACACACAAACACCCATTGATTTTCACACCAGCGCGGCACCATGCACACAGACCGTGCACACGCCCCACACAATGCCTCATTAATATTCCGTTGTTCTTGGCCCATTTGCTGCTGGGGCCGGGTGTTTAGCATCAGCAGCTGTGTTTGGTGGGTTAGTCCAGCCGTGCTCTTGGCATTGATGGATCCCTGATTCTCATGGCTCATCATATAATAAACTCTCAGCTGTGCTGGAGGGAGGGGCCTGAGCGGCCACCGGTGTGGGGCTAGAGGAGGGAGGATGACACTGGGCTTGGCCAGTGCCAGGGAGAAACCAGGTAAGGACAGGCTGGGGGTGGGGAGGTCACAGGTGCACTGGGCAGGTCGGAGGGGGCTCTAATTAGTCTCGTTTGTCCTGCACTTAATGTCAAGCTCATTAAAGAGGCTACCGAGTTAATCAACATACCACAAATTGGATTTTGAGTTCTGCAGCCCGTTCTGTGGACATTATGGCAGCACTGACAATGACTCGCACTCGGGGGGAGGATTTCAGGTCAGGCACTCACCGGGCTTCAAAACCTGGGTAGGGGTCAGGTACGTACGTTGGTGACTTTTCTTGCCCTTTTTTTCCCCCTTCTAAGTTTTAAAAAATTCCTTTCCCTGGGTGGACTCAGGAGATTTCCTATTTAAACTCATTTAACATGTGATCCACTTCATAATTAAATGCATCACAATCTGATCAAACAAACCTCTCTGTCTTAACCCTTTGTTTCCTGATCTCTCCAGCCCCCACCTTGAAGGCGGAAGGCACAGACAGTCATCCTCCCGCGCCGCCTCCCGGCTGGATGGCTGCCGGTGTACGTTTTAATTACCGGCTCGGCTCAAGTCTCACGTGGCCCCTGCTTTATTTATTTATTTATATCTTAATGAGGACACTGAATCTTTGATTAAAGTCGTAATCATTGTCGATGCCGTAAGCGGGGGAGTTGGATGTCAGAGTGGATGGGGCCCTGTGTGGTAGACACGCAGAAAGGAACACGTGGGCATGCTGACACACAGCCCGACCTGTCCCCTGTCCCTGCCCATTGGAGAGCGTATAAAAACCCTGGGTGCCTCAGGGAGGACTCACAGCTAATTAGGACCAAGGTCGGCATAGGGCTCATGCCCCTGGGGTCTGATGAGCTGGGGGACAGACAGTGAGAATGGGTAAGTACAGGTTCTCTCCAGCCGAGAACCTCAGAACTCACTTCGTCCCCACATGTGCACCATGAGGGCTTTTCCAGCTGTGCGCCTGAGCAGGACAGTGCCCGGCAGATGGGGACAAACTGGTATCACGGGACAGCTCAGCTCTTGGAATCTCCGTCTGATGATTCCTCGATAGAAATGCCCCCTCCCTCCATCCGCTCAGAGCTTCATGCAAATCATCCACCCGTGAGAGAGTCAGCCAGTGAACAGACCCCAGCATCCTCTCCCCACAGAGCCTTAAAAACCCTTCAAAGCCATCAGAAGAGATGAGAATTTATGTGGGTACAGGGGCCAGCATTCAGGAGGGGGAGGTTTGGTTAGCGGCCTGAGGAAGGGAGAGAGAGGAGAGAGTAAAATATCATTTTAAAGAGGAAGTGAAGGCGCGGGCATGCGAGTCTATAACGAGAAGGACAATTTATGCCCAGGCACGAGCGCAGTTTGACATGGGGATAATGAAAAAACGTAGGTCATTGTGGATGACTTAAACCTTCAGCAGCTGAAGAAAATGTATGAAATGCAGAGGACATTACACGGTTGGCAGCCCTGCACATCTGCAGAGGGACAAGTGAAATACAGTGGGCCATTCTTCACCGTAAACTGTGGTTGTTGGAGATGCAGCCCAGAGAAATTGTAATTACAGTGACAAGACGAATCAGCGATATTTAAATATTCATGAACAAAGTCTGGGGTGATCAATCTATCTTTATTGTCTGTGCCTTCACTCCGGTAATAAATAAGTAGCTGAAGTCCTCACCTTTCATCCCCTGAGCCCCCTACTTTGGGTACAAAATGCAAGATGGTTAATCCCCAGAACCCAGTCTCACCCTGTTTGGATGTAAGAAGCTGACGCCCCCAGAGGAGACCAAGGGCAAAGAGTCTCATCTGAGGAACGATAGTTGTCCCCAAGTTTCATATACCCGGCATCTCCCGAGGGTCTGTTCTGGGCCATCTCTGCTGTGCACTGAGGCTAAGGCGTGGACACGCTCACTTCTTACCCTGGAAGTGCTTCCGTGCCGAGGCGTGGTCGGCAGGCAGTAGACGCAGACTCAGCATCAGTTAGCAAGCTGGCAGGGAGACAGCGTCCAGTCTGGGCGTCCCGGCTCAGCTGCTTACTAGCTGTGTGACCTTGGGAATGGCGTTTAAGCGTCTCTAAGCATCTCATTTTTCTCATTTGTAAAATGAGAATGATATCTTTTTTAAGGTTGTTGCCATGGCCACGTGAGGTTTTTGAGGACAGTAGTGAGCATTCAACAGATGTGGGCCATTTTAAGGAGAAAACACCATTAAAATAATACTCCCACTAATAAAAGGACAAAGTGCTGGCCGTTTCTTCTCTCTTGGGACAGAACGTGACTCGTTCCACCTAGGGCATTCATGAGCTGGGCTTTGAGGATGCCTAGGAGTTCACTAGAGAGAAAAGAGGAAGTCGGGCAGAAGGGACAGCTGTGTGAAACTGTGGAGGAGTTGGGGGCCAGCAGGTGGCGTGATGGTCGCGGTGCTGGACTCCCACGTGGCCGATCACGGTTTGGTCCCAGACCTGGCGGTTTGCTTGCTTTCTCACCTTCTCCCTCTCACTTTCTGTCCCTCTCTGGGTCTCTCTCTGGTCAAATTAAAAATAAATGAATACATAAGTAAATACAATGAAAAAAAAAAAAAGAAAACACCTGTGGAGGAGGAAGAAAAGGTGTTGGGGAACAATGAGAAGTTTCCCAAACTGGTGAGGGTTTTTTTTGAGGATAGATGAGTCAATCTGGAGTGACGTTTACCCCTGACCCAGGAAAGGGGGAAGAGGTAACATGAGAAGCAGGAAGGTAAGGTCTCAAAGCCCTCAGGTCTGCCCTGTCCTCAGGGCAGCCTGCTTTCTGGGGATGGTGGTTCATTTGTAAGCCAAATGGGCTGTCTTTTCCTAGGACTGGTCTTTGCCCCACAGGTGACCTCCGGGGCTCCAGGAGAGTGTGGACACGAGTGGGTGCGTGCACTGCCTGTTTATGCTGTGGGGACCAGCAGAGCCTGTGGCTCCTTAGGTGGTTGTCGGAGGTGGAACACAGATGTCTCATCCTCCTGATGTCCTCAGTGTGCCCGGCTCCCAAAGAGGGGGCCGGAAGAGGCAAGGGCCTGACCCAGCCCCTTATCATCCTCCCCACAGGCGACCACCCATATGAGTGTGAGTTCTGTGGCAGCTGCTTCCGGGATGAGAGCACACTCAAGAGCCACAAACGCATCCACACGGGCGAGAAACCCTATGAGTGCAATGGCTGCGGCAAGAAATTCAGCCTCAAGCACCAGCTGGAGACGCACTACAGGGTGCACACAGGTACTGAGGGCCACCGAGGGCACGTGAGCTGGCCCTGGGACCTGGGCAGGCGTGGGCAACAGAAGGCTTCCCGGAGAAGCCCGACTGAGGACAGTTCAGAACTGAACCAAAAAGCAGAAAAAACTTTATTACGATGGCCCCGGGTGACACTACCCCCATCTCAAGACCAAGGCAGACATTGCTAATCGATCACAGCACACTTTGCCATGAGCCCAAATCAGCCCTCCAGGCAGCTACACCAGTCGTTCAGAGACTGCAGATCAAGTCTGTCTGTGAGTCCTGAACTGGGGTCGAGTGGCCTGGTAAGCTGAAAGCAGAGATACGGTCACATGCTACTCAAGTTAGAGTAAGAGTAGGGAGCATTGGATTAGGTTATGATGAGGACTCGGAAATTGAAAAGTTAGATTGAATCTGGTTCTGAAATTAGAGGAGCATAGACATTTAATAGCCCCTCTACGTGGATAACGAAGACATTTCAAAGCGCCTTCACACCCTGTTTTACATAGAAGAGATGTGAGCAGCTGTTTTCCCTGGGGTCTGAGGTTGGACTAAGTGGAAGTGGTCCAGACTTGCATAATTTTCAAGTTGTGGGCAGTGGAGTCCTGGGGCTGGTGAAAGTCTATTTTGCACATTTCTTCCCAATTTCACGTCCAGTGACGTCACCTTGGTGGTGTTCAACTCCGCTGTGTTGGGAGTATTCACAACATAGCGATGGGAATATGTTGCAAATCAGGGCTTTTCTGGAAAGCCAGATGAGCCAGCAGGCCACCAGTGGGGGTGGAAGGTAGATATGCAGAAGGACCGCAGAGGTGGTGGAGCCTGGCAAGCTAGGAGGCCGCCTCCGATCAGTGGGGAAAGGTGACCTTAGGCAGGGCCTGCTGGCTCAGGGAGAGTCGGTTGCCATGGCGGGGGTGGGCGGGTGGGTGGGTGGAGATTGGGGGGTGGACAGGGAGAGCCACAAGCGGAGCTGCATGTTGTTGAACTTGTTCTTACCTCCAGTGTTGGAACCCCAAGGAGAGGATGAGGTGTCCACTGTTGACAACTAGAGTGACCTGGAGGTTTCCCCAGAGCCCTGGAGTTTCCTTCACCCCTTGTCGGGATGTGGCCTAGGCGGATCATTAAATGCATTGGCAGTGACTATTGTAAATAGCTGGTCAATAGTTAGATCACTTTGGCTGTTCATTACTTCATTATTTGCTGGGGCTTCTTCACGGAGGCGTATCGATGGCGAGATGGCTGGCTAGTTAATTACTGTATTGAAACAAGGTTCCCTTATGTCCTCTGCTCAGCTCCAGGGGACTAGCGGAGGGGAGGTTGGGGTAGTGGGCTAGGGTGTGACTGGGTACTCGCAGGGTCTCACTCCCCCTATTCTAGCCCCAGAGGGGAAGACAGGATCCAGGGCAGGGTCTTAGAACTTTAACAGTATCGAGTTCCCCAGATACAGCATGTTTGAAGCCCCATCCCTACTGCCCGCCATCTGTAGCTCTGGAAAGACTCTACCTGCTTCCTCTGGATGGAACTTGGTCTGAAGAGCCTTTCCAACACTTCCAGGATCTGCTGCCCCTATCCAGACAGCCGTTTCTTTCATTAAAAGGGAAGAGATTGTGCTTTAGAGTTAAGAATAATAAAACAGGGGGCTAGAAACGAGCTGAACAACGCTGTGGCCACTAGCTACCTGTGACTTTTGACATTAGTTCCAATGAACTAAGATTAAAATATATAGTGCCTAATTACACAAACCACATTGGTTCCCACATGTGACTAGGGGCCGCCATATTGGATGGTGCATAGAACTCTAAGTTCCAATAGAGAGTGCTGAGCCAGAGGGATGGAGATTCACTGATAAGCTGAGGGTGGCATGAGGCCTTGGTGGCCCTCTCCGCCATCCTCACTCCTCTCGCCCTGTGTTACCCACCCACCCTTACACAGGTGAGAAGCCCTTTGAGTGCAAGCTCTGCCACCAGCGCTCCCGGGACTACTCGGCCATGATCAAGCACCTGAGAACGCACAACGGCGCCTCGCCCTACCAGTGCACCATCTGCACGGAGTACTGCCCCAGCCTCTCCTCGATGCAGAAGCACATGAAGGGCCACAAGCCAGAGGAGATCCCGCCTGACTGGAGGATAGAGAAGACTTACCTCTACCTGTGCTACGTGTGAAGGGAGGCCGTGGCAGTGGAGCAGGCGTGGGGAGCAAGGGAAGAAGAGCTAGAGACGAAGGCGAGGAAGGACTGTGCAAAAAAAGAAAAAAAGGAAAAATCAAAAACAAAAAAAAAAGGAAAAAAAAAAAAAAAGAGGAAGCCTGATAGCTGTTTGGCCTGGCACTCCAGGTGACCTGGACGCCAAGCCCCTGCCCTTTCCCTAGAGGCCTTCTTCCCCGGCTGGAGGTTGGCCTGATTTTCTTGGTGGGAGTGGAGGTTTTGTTCACTTAGAAGGTGGTATATTTTTCTCTTCCCTCTAGCCAGACCCTCGTTTTGTGTCAGAAGTGGAGGCTAGGAAGCGGGTGAGAGGCCTTCTGGTCCAAGCCCAGTCTCTGCCTGCTCCTCCCCCGGCTTCCATGAAGGGACAGGGAGCAGACGGGGGCCAGCAGATGGCCGGCTGGGCCTGGTCACGGGCTGATGCTCAAAATGGCAGCTCTGGTTTGCTGGGGGCAGACTGGGGAGGGGAAGGCTCTCTTTCTCTTCTCATTCTCACTTCACCTGTTGCTTTCCCCTGCTCTGCCACATCAGGCATCCCCGCCTGGCTCTTGCTCCTGCTCCTGCTCCGTGTCCTCCAAGTCCCAGGGGGCTCCAGCCTCTCTTCTTCCTCCTCTGGTTCCCTAGTAGGAAAGCTGAGTCTTGAGCCCCTGCTCCTCACCTCTGATTTTGGAGAACACAAAACAAAACAAATGGACTATCCCACCTCTTCAGGCCCCATCA